ACAGATCAGCATTTGGACAGCAAATGGGGGCAGCCAGGAAAAGTCACCTGATTAGCCTTCCCTATTTTGTGTAAAATATTGTGTTTCTATTTAAATTGCAGAACTTATCTCTAAATGTGCTTCTTTAATTGTGTATGAGCACACACACCTTTCATGCAAATCATTCCCTTCTTTTTCAAGCAATGCAACTCCTTTTCTTTGGCAATGTAGAACTGGGCACCCCTTGAGGTTCCAGATCAGAAGATGTTCTGGCCAAAGCAACTCAAATAGATCCAAAATTTAACTATTCTGCTGTATCTATTGAAAGGAATCTCTAGTATTTAAGTTGAAAGAAGCTTTTAGACAATGTAGAAAAGACTGATTCCCTTTCCAGAGAATATATAACATTACAGTTCAGCATAAACCACTCAATATCCAGATTGGCCCTCTCTAAATGAACACCTGTCCATCACTACAGAAAGCCCTATTCCCCCATCTTTCCCTCCTCCACACTTCAGGAGACAAACTGAGCCAAGTCCACTTTCAAATAGCTTGGCAAGTCCCACTTCTGCTCTTGGCTGACAAGCAGGCCTTTGAGAAGAAGTGGCCAGTTTACACTACCCTGAAAGCCATTATCTTAATTGAATTTCTCATCAATGTACTGGGCTTAGAACCACATTAATCATAGATGAATTGGAAGAAGAGGCTATAGGCAAATGGGTTTTGTTCTTCAGTTAAACAACAGAAAAATCCTGAAGAACTACTGTTGCACCTCCACACCCAGATTTCCAGTGCTAGTCATTCTGTGACCCAATCATCTGCAGGTGTTCAGAGCAGAATCTGAATAAGAGCTGGACCTTATTCAACTGAGACTGGGTACCAGAAGCAATGGGCCTGTGTTATTAAAGAATTCTGATAAGTTGGACTCCAAAGTCCTGTTGGCCCCAGCTGGCCTTGGAACTGGTTAAGTATTATGGGGCCACAACTTCTGGGCTATCACTTGGAAACGTCCTCTAGAGCACCTGCTGTTGCTACAAAACACAGTGGCATGGCCTAAAGGAAGCTTGTGCAATATATATAATCCAGTAACCACAGCAACTAAATAAAATATTGCAAGGTTATCACTGTGGGGAATATTGCATTCCCACTATCAGGACATGCTGTAACATGTCTAAATCTAATCAATGTTTGGAACTGGAAGTATATAGAAGGGGAGAGCACAGTGGAAGTTGGACCCTCTTCCCCTGGGCCAGCTGTGGACTTAGAGCCCTTTTGCTAACAGAGAAGGAGTCTGTTTTCAGATTCTGCTTACCTGAAGAGCAAATGCAATGTGGTGGCTGGGATGCAGCACTCTTCCCAAGCTTTATGGTTCCTTCAAGATAAGTTGGGAGGACTATTTGCATGGAGCACAAGCAATGGCCAAGCCAGAAAGGGGTCAGTGGAGATCGTAGTCCAGCATATGCACAGGGCACCTGGCTAGGGAATACCAAGCCTGAACATGAGGCCATTTTCTGGTAAGCTTAACCACCCTCACAGGGCTGTTTCAAGGATTCCAACTTTGTGTGAAGAACCTGCTCACTGCAGCTGTTGTTCTCCTCCCCACAAACATTAAATGCAGGCCCTAGCCATGAAATGGCTACTCACCCCTGCCTTAGAAAAACAAAGAGATATGTGATAAATGAAATGAAATGAAATGAAATGAAATGAAATAAAGCTAATCTGCTTTCTCTCTTCAAAATGAAGACCTCTAGCTCTAGGCTGGGGAAGCAAGTAGCTTCCAAGAATCAGCTGCATTAAGATTCTGCTGAAAATCCTACCAACATCTGATGGCATCCAGATGTAGCCTACATTACAGAGACAGCAGAATGAAGGTAGTTGAATGCTGACTGGGGAGGAAGAAAGGAGGGACCAATGAACTTCCAAATGCTTTTGGACTACAACTCCCAGAATCCCTTATCTTCTATACTGGTTAGAACTGATGGGATCTGAAGTCCAGCAACAGGCTGAAAAGATACAATACATTACATTGCTTCAACCTATGCAAAGTGTAAAACATGCCCATCTGTATTTTAAATATGTATACAGCAAATAAGAAAACTATATAGTAGAGACATTTTCTGTATATTCTTTCTATTTCCGGAGATGTCCACTGTCTTAAAACAAGGTAGTAAAACTTTGATAAGTACAATGGCCATCAACAATCTGAAAGGAATAGCTTGCACCACTGCCAGCTCTTTATAATCCATAAAGGAGACTAATCAAACCAATTAGCAACTTGGAAAGTGCACTGTGAGAATTCTATGTAAAAGAAAGCATTCTGACAAACCAGATGATTTCTTGTGTAGTGTTAATTGCTTCTGGACGGCCAGGCTACACGGACTAGCTAATCACAGAACCTTCCATCTTCTATAAAAACATAAGCCGTGCCCAGCTGGCTCAGATTCCTGGCCCATCCAGTCCAGCAGTTTGTTTTCACAATGGCCAATGTGTGACTCAAATCTCTGGGGCAAGGGATTGCATCACATGCAAGTCTCTTTCAAGGAAAGCTCAATTCCTGTGACTGCCATCTTCTACTAGGCCACCCATCAGACTCCAAATCTGCTGAAAGTTGGTTGGGATTGGGGTGCTTAAGGCTACATAGGCTGTACAGCTTGGGATAATCCAGGCAAAAGTCCAGAGCCCAGTAACCCAAAACTGCCCCCCCCTTGACTATTTTGTGCATTGATTGACTGATTGGTATTAATATAATTTCGTCTTTTAAAAGTAAAGACAGAAAACATATCATTGTGACTGACTAGTCAAGAATGGAAAGTACCACATAGGGAGAAATGTGGTGGAGGGAGGGAATCACCTGGATGTCTGCATGGGGTTCGCATCATGCCCAGGCCCCTGATGGTAGTGCTGGTCAGAAACATCCTGATATGAGGAGGAGGGATAAAGAAAGCTCAGATGCTACGCTTAACTATTTGCCACGGTGCTGCCTGATACTGAAATACAAACTGACTAAAGAACACACACACACACACACACACACACAGAGCTTCCTTGTTCAGCCTGAAAGAAAATGGCACAGGGAGTTCCCAAGATTACCACACTTGTTACTCAAACGCTGCGTACACTTCCTATTCATTGTTTAGCCCTGCCAGCCCATGGAAACCCACAGCGCTAAAATCTACAAGGGTGGGGCAGAGGAGGACAGTTCCAACTCATCACAAGTGCAAACCGCTGCTGCAATAAAAGGTGAAGATGCCCTCAAGCCAAACTTGACTCTTGGTGACTGCAATGTTCTTGACAGTGTTTCAGAAGTGGCTTACCACTGCTTTTTTCAAGGACTTTTTAAAAATTCCCAACCCGGCTGACAGACCTAGAATTCCCTAGGAGTCTCCCATCCACATATTAACTAGTCCCAACCCTGCTTAGCTACCAAGGCCAGGCAAAGGAATACAAGTCACTACCTGAAAAGGACAGCATTGAGGAAGACACCCCACTGAGTCAAGGAAAAGAATTCTTGAAGCAAGGCTAGCTAGCGGAGTGCAAAGGAACACGCTTAACAGGGACTTTAGAAAGAAGCTTATGCAAGCGACTCAACTGGCATCCTATAACCATGTGGGGCAGCTGCTGGATTCCGCCTGGCAGCTGAGCACCACGGGAGAACAGAAATAAGATACTGAGCTGGCTCCACTGAATGCAATGACAGGCTCAGGAATAAGCAAAAGTTGTACAACAGGACAACAATAAGAGAACCCTAACTCAGCCCAAGACACTGCCATCCCAAATTTCTAGTGGCACTTGTCACTTTTCCCCGAATGGCACACCACTTAAAGCAAGTCAGGGAATATTCCTTCTCTGCTTTCTTTAGGTATTAAAACTTGAGTTTTCCTGGCCTGGCCTACAAAAATATGTGTGTTCTAATTGGTCTTCTAGCAATGTCAGGGTTATGCCACCATCATCACCTCAATAACAATTCTAGGATCACAAACCAGCTGTTGCCACCTCAGATCTATCCCTGCAGCCTCTAGGTGCCAAGAGTATGTGGGCACCATGGCTACCAAGATTAATACAAGCCAATCATACCAAAAGTGTGCCACACAACTATTCAGATTGTGCCCTCTAGAGGCCAAAGGGTTTTAAGAGCTAGCACAGTCAAGGTTCAATAAATTATCCATGCGGACACTCTTATTGAAGGCACAGCTAGTTTTAAGTAGAGTCTGTGACTGGATTTCCTGCTTGCTCACAAGAAGGAAGAGCACTGAGAGATGGTAAAGAGATTAAAATCTGCCACCTCATTTTCTTGAGGAAAACCACTCCCCACACATTTTAACTTGACTCTATCAATTGTCCCAAACATAAAGTTATCCATCTCATTCACAGCTTAGCTGCTGTAATGTCTCCTTTTAAGCCTTAAATGACTCATGACCAAGTATAAACTGCAGCGGTTTATATCAACACTGCTGAAAACTTTAAGTATTGGCTGTTAAGAGGACTACATCCTTCTGTTTTTGGCAGGCTAAAATTCTGCATGCTTAGAACCAGGTCCTGTATTACAAACATTTTCAGCTGTGAATCATCTTCAGTTGTGTGGGTCATTTCTATTGTACGGATTTTGTACTGATTTGACATAATCTACTTTTGACAGGCAATAGCTCTCCAGAAAGCAGAGAGAGGGAGTTCTTTTGCAACTTGGGGATCCTTTTGCTCAAAATCCCAGGGACTAAAACTGATGCCTACATCCAAAACACGCACTCTGCTACCTGAGTGATGACCTGCCCTTTCCAAAAGTGCATCTTATCTTCTCTCCACTTACACTCTATGAGAACCATTACAGAGGTAGGACTTGACCAGCTGAAAAGTGTCCTGATCTGAAGAAGGATGTAAGCATTGGCTTCAACCCACAAAACAAGTAAGTAACAGTTGCACAAACTGGGTACATCTTGGGTCTCTATGATGACAAAACTGCTTCTTGTGTTCAGCAAATGCAGGGCAGGAAAAAAAAAGGAGAAGTATTTAGCAAAGAGCATAGAAAAAATATTTATTGAGAACAGAGCTGTTCAAAGCGCTCCATAATATTGCTGCATGAATGTTGGAAGCTACCTTCTACTAGGCCAGGCCATCTGTCCATCTAGTCTTATACTCTGCCCTGACCAGCAGTGGCTTCAGAGTCTCAGGCAAAGGTCTTTCCCATAAATTGCTATTTAATCCTCTTTAACTAGATGTTAGGAAAGAACCTGGAACCTTTTGGATACAAAACATGGTCCCTCCCTAAAAGGAAAAATATGAGAAGGCTCTTGAAATGTCCAAGGAACCATGGAATAGACAACTGCCTTGTTGCATTCCTGGCTCCCAGATCTGTCAGAGATGTCTCATGCTGGATCTTCTCACCCAAAGATCCACCATGCACATGAAGAGTTTTGGGTTACCAAGAAAGAGGTTCACAAGGGAAGCTGTTGAAGTGAAGTAACTGGCTCCAACCTCTCTAAATTTAGGCAAATGTTCCATGCCAACCTTTAAAAAAACCCCAAACCCGAGGTTGCATCGCAAGGCAAGAATAAACAGTCAGAGAAAAGGAAAAAGCTAGGCGGGGACAACCACCTTTGTGTCTTCCTTTCAGACTTCATAACACAGAACTGTTTCCCAGAGGAAAGTATAAAGGGGGATATGTACCCTTTCCAACTCCCTACTTTGCTTAGGCGGTATGACATAGCTACTTTTGGCACCCCCAAAGAAATGCAGGGAAGTGGGCTTGCTTTGTTGAGGTCTATACAAGAGCTCAGGTTACAAAGCTAAGCATCTGCAAAGCTTAGTCCTGAAATCTTCAAGCCCTGGGTACGCACGTTAGGGAGACTGCTAATTTTAAGGAGTCTTTCACCCTCTGGCTGCCCTCCAGAGGAAAATGACTTATCTTCATGAACTACAATAAGAAAGGAATTGCCCAGTTCCACATTAATAATAAGGAAAATACCAGCCTGCTCCAAAGAGCAAGACAGATCACTCGAGATTAAATCCATGAACACCAATATATTTGGAGAGTGAGCAGGCCACACACCATTGCTTCTCTCTTGGCTGTTATAGCTCTTAGGCCACCAGGCATCTAGGCTGCTGTTGAACCAGTGCTTGAATCCCAAACATGGTAGTTCTGATCATCGACATGCCGTTTGCTGGAACACTTTCTGTGAGGAGGTTCAGATGATGTCTCACCAGACCAGAGGTTGGGGACGGGGGGTTCCCCACTACTTCTGCTCACAAATACGGCTGGGTTCTTAGGAGACAGTTCCAACTCTTCCGTTTGCTGCGCCATGGCTGGCTGAGAGTTCTTGCTTTTTGTGTCATGCCCAGCGTTTTGGTGCTTCTCCCCTTCACCCTTAGAGTAGACTGTGGGGAAAGGAAGACGCTGAGTACCACTGTTGGAAGCTCCACTTGTGGCGCTGCTCCCTAGACGGGTCTGAGCCACAGGGATCTCATCCATGGACTCTGCTGACTCAGAATGATAATCAGCTGGAGGACCTGCAGCTTGGACTGGACCCATGCTGCTAATGGGTACGATTACTTTAGGAGGAACAGCTGGTACAGGGAGGCGAAGGCTGGAAGATGAGGAGGCTGAAGAGGGGGCAGTAGTGATGGACAATTCTGCAAACAAAAAAGAAAGGAGAGGCTAACAGAAGTAGTTATTTCCCTCCTTCTACAGCAATTGCACTTGCTGGAGATCACGTGAGTTGCAGCAAGAAACCTGGGGAAAAGTTAATGAGTTTTGTACCTTCTGTTCTGCTTCCCAGTCTTTATTATGTGAGACTACCAGAAACAGTTTGGTTTGTTTAAAAAAAAAAAAAAAAAGCTTTTCACAAGTCATTTGGCAGCTTTATGTTTAAAACTAGACGTTTCTCATTAGACAAAAGATGATCATATGAGACCTTTAGGATGGAATCTCTAGGCTGCCTATCTTACCTGACTGTAAAACTGGAAGAGAGGTCCATGGGGCAAGTGTCACCTTGGAGTTTTCTTCCAACGCAGAGGAGGGAACCTTCTGCGACTTCTTCCGCTTCTTTTTCTTCTTTTTCTTTTGAAGCTATACAATAAAGGAAAGTGACATCCATTTAGAATCAGTATGATTATACTGACTATGGTATCAGTCCAAATTCCCACCCAGCCAGGAAGCTTACTGGGTAATTTTGGACCACTTACTCTAGCTCACCTGTTCTTCTTTGCAGGATTCTTATAAGAACACATAGTATGAAGGAGACAGGCATGAAATATCATCTAACCATTCAGAGCTCTTCAGAGAAAGAAGACAATTTTCACGTACATACAACTTTATGTTTTCAACTGGGACAGGGGCTCAGCAAAGTGTGACAGCTTGGGAAATCAAATATTTTATCAATTATAGACCCTCAAAGAATCTTTCCTGCTTAGATTACTGAAGTTGGGATGGGGGTGGGGAGATAAAGATCTATAGATACAGACCTAGAAATAGATAAATAGAACTGCAATGAACAGGAGAAGCAGGACCAGCAATGGGGAGCCTCACACAGTAATTATTTTAAGTATTGACTTTACTTACCAAGCTGGGTGGGAGGAATCCTCCATTACAGGAAAATGACAACCTTAAATTAATTTATATACCACCCAGAGCACTATGGTTACTGGGACAACAAATAAATAAAAATTAAGCAGGCAAGGACATCTAAAAGCAAAGGGACACAGAGCTATTAGCTGTAATTTTGTGTTGTGAAATTGATTTTAAAATCCAACTAGTCTTTCCTTCTATTTCTGAAATAAAAAGGCTTTAAAAAAAATGACTAGACAGTTGAGTAAAGCATGAGAATCAAATAATTGCTATATACCTTTTACTACAAAACTCAAGATAGTAACATTTTAATAGCGCCAAAACTTTATTCCTCACAATGCCAGCAAAGCAGTTCTGTATTTTTGCCAGTCGAAACACATATAACAACCCCCCTACAAATAAATAAATAAATAAGCAAGCAAGCAAGCGTGCACAGAACAGAGTATGTCAAGTACATAAGCCATAAAAGGTTGTTAACTGCTGAGGAAATAGAAAACATGCTGTGGGGACACACTGTCAATGTGTAATGTAACACCTCAGGTTAAGCTTTAGTTGCATGTCTCTCTCTTACCTGTCGCTGGTCTCCAGACTGCATATCCGGAAGCTCAGAGGACGGTATGGTCTTGGAGTCTATGCCATCATTGCGGATACAAAACTTGGGTAGGCTGAAACGGAAGACTGGACATTGGCTCTTCTGCACATACCAATCTAGCTTAAAGCTTCTATGTGTGGACCAGAAACCTGGCCTTATACTATTAGCTTATTTGTCCATCTAGCAGCAGTGGGCTGCTTCCTCCCAGGAACCAGATGTGAGAGACTGTAGAGAGGCTGGGAAAAGAAAGAAGAGCACACGGACGTAGCAATCAAGAGGTAGTGGGCAGATCAGCTGATAGCTCATCTCATGAATGGCAACTTAGCTCAGGTGGAGAGACGTTTGGGACGAAGTGTTTCACATCACTCAGAGACTCCACTTATAAATGAGACTGGAAAAATCCTATTATGTTTTTCACAATTCTGTATTTATCTTCACCATAGTCCAAGATGTGAAATCTGCATAGTTCTTGCTTTCTTGACGTTGCCCAGTTGGGTAGGGCTTGACATTTCGGTACGGATAATTGGCTTCCCATTGCTATTACTGTACTGATAATCCCGGTGAAAAAAAATACTGGTTGCCCAATTGCTTTCCTCCCCAGCTATGTTTTTTCTCACTGGCCAATGGAGCAGGATGATCCATTGGCCGATGGAGTAATATGTGGGCCATTCAAAAGGTGGTTGAGGGGCACAGAGAGACCATGAGCTGGCCACTCCGGGTTTAGCCCCAAGCATTATAAACTATGGTCATGGCTTTTTTTATGGCAAACTTCTCTCCCATCACCTGTTATTAAATCATTCTGACTAGAGATGCAAAAAAAAAAAAAAAAAAACCCCTAAAAAAAAAAAGG